TTGTGTGTGCGCGCGCGCGTATGTGTGTGTGTGTGGTGGTGTGTGTGTGTGTGTTGGGTAGTGGTTGGGTGTGCTGGTGTGGGTGTGTGTGTGTTGGGGGCGGTGCCAGCAAAATGACCTTCGACAGTGGTGACCAGATTAGGTGAAAACGCCTTTCCCCGTTTCCCCTATAGGCCTGACGTCTGACGACTGCGAAAGGACAAAAAGCGGCAGTGTGCTCCAGAGAGGGCAGGGCCTTCGACGAGATCGTCACAATGTAGGACGACATCTTCGTCTAGATATTCGTCTTGTGGCGAGAAATGCTCGCTTGTAAATAATGTAGAATAAACGCCTGTACAGTTTTCTTCTTCAGTCTCTTCATGGTCGGCGTCTTCCTCCCGAGTCCCCGGTGCCGGTAATGGCTAAGTCCCAACACCTCAACAACGGATAGCAGTGGGTGGTATCTTCAAAACCACAACTTCAATAGCAGTTATTTTGTGCATCAAGAAGAATGTTTTCTAATTTTACTAATGAAACACGCCCTATTTTCTCCGCTATTGAGCTAGCAATGGCTTTTTCGAGTAACATTCCACGAGGCACCCCACGAGGTCTCCGATTGTTGAAACATATAACCGTAGATGAAAAATTTATTTTTATGAGAGTCGGCGTCCACATTTCAGTATTACAGTTCGGTTTGGTGTTTCTTGAGAAATGACCATCAGAAATGACCTACAAATAGGATACGAGAAAGACCTTTTTTTTTTTTCAAATTTAAAGCTCCATATACAAGTACCGCGATAGCTGTTGCGATGTTACAAAGCCCTCACATTAAAAAAGGTGCTACACTTACACCAAATTTCGTGTCTATTGCGGGAAGGGTATTTCCAAAGTCCTGCGAGAAAAAAACAAAACAACAAAAACCTCGCTCCTATGTATACCGTTCTGCACAGCATCCGCCGACAGGCTGCCGTTGCAGTGCGCCGTATACGGTGTCCGCGCAGCCGGGAAGGATCATCTGAGTCACGCGCAGCAGTCGCCGTTCGTTACGTAGCTATGGAAACCCCTCCTCATCCCCTCGAGGTCCGGAGGAGAAGAGGGGCTCCCCGCTCGATTTTCTCCCCTGCACGGTTCTGAGCGCCGTGCCTGCGAGTCTGTCAGTGTGCGCGTGAGCTTCTGAGAAAGAGTGTATACGTTCTCGTGTGTTGTGTGTGTGTGAGAGAGAGAAGAGGATAGCAAGAAAGAGAGTGTGTGTCTGTTCGTTTGAGTTTGGATGTGTGTGATGTTTTTGTGCCATGGTCTGTGCGCGCACGTACTGATTGTCGGAGGGAATAGAGAGAGGATATTTGTAGCAGAAAAAACATGTGTGTGCGTGCGTGCGTGCGTGTGTGTGTGTGTGTGTGTGTGTGTGTGTGTGTGTGTGTGTGTGTGTGTGTGTGTGTGTGTGTGTGTGTGTGTGTGTGTGTGTGTGTGTGTGTGTGTGTGTGACCATAGTTAACTTTTCGCACGAGTGAGACAACGACACAAAAAGGACGACAGAACAGATACAGAATACACGATTATTAATACTGCGTGTTAGTAGCTAAAGTGGGTGGGTCCCTTCGTCCAGAGTTCCACTGGCGCGGCTCGCCGGGCCTCGTCCAGGGTTGCCAATTCGATTCCCAAGGCCTGATCTGAAAGTCGCGCCTCCCACGACCAGTGTGGCAGCATGTGTGCTTGCATGTGCGTCGAGTTTGCCGCAACAGGACGCGAGGGTCAGCTGTATGCAATGTGTGGGTACCCCTCCGCACCAAGGCCACTCATCGCGATGTGAGGAGAGGTGTGTTCCAGAAAGTGTGCGCAGAGTGGGGTACGTGTTTGTCTGAAGACGGCGCCAGTCCCTCGATTTCGCTCCGTTCAGCTTCGGGTAAGGTGGTGTCATGGTTCGTCGCTCCAGCCGTTCAGCTTCGAGAATGTCAGCTCGACCGCTTAGTCGCTCATCGTGTAGAGGGACGTCTGCACGCGCATCCGTCGCTCGGCCTGTTCATTACCAGGAACACCCGTATGTGCTGGGCACCAGATGATGCCATTGGTTAGATACGATGTGTGAGCCTAAGATGTTTAAAACAGTTCGTGGTATTGTGCCATGTATGCATGTAAAGTGGACATGCTGTTTGTGAATCCGTGAAGATAGTGAAGTTTATACTTCACTTGTCCGCGTCTCTGATGGCCAGGGCGATTGCAGCGGCCTCCGCTGTTGCAACGGAAGATGTACGTATTGTCGCTGCTGCCTTAAGTTTTGCTCTATTAGTAGCCACTGCGGTGTACGTGCGCGACCCATGGACTTGTAGTGGTGCCGGATGGTTAGGCGTCCAGTATAGTACACGTCAGGGTTAGTGCCGTGGTTGCGAAGCTTCCGTGCACGAGCTTGGCGTCATGCACTGCGGAAGACCGGGTACATGTGACGGGATATTGGTGCCTCGTAGATCTGCGAGTGCATAGCCGGAGGAAGTGATTCCGCACTATATCTCCACTGTACTGCTCGGCAAGAGGAAAACCATGCTTGGCCAGTATAGCCCGTCCTTGTGGTGTGGTGTTTAGCCGTTCGCGCTGAGCGAGGAGGGTATCTGTTGCATATTCTTCATACGTAATCAGCATCCCGAGCCGACACAGAGCTGGGGTGCTAACGTTATGCGGCAGCCCAAGGGCTGCCTTGCAAGCAATTTGAAGAAGTCGGTCCCCTTGCTCGATGTCCGTCTAACGGGTTGCTTGATAAGGCACTGCATAGGTGGCACGGCTGAGTATACGAAGGCGTGCACTATAGCCGTAAGGTGTCAGCTTGGCGCATTCCTTGTCTGCTGCGAGCGAGGCAACCCAAGAGGTTGGTGATGCTCCTTACCGCACGCTTGAGATTCGCAAGGATGAGCACTGATAGTGCTCCCCGCTACCTTGACGTGCAGACCGAGAACTGGAAGCTGCGTCAGCGCTACTCTTATCCTACATCGTGAGTTTGTGCGTATGTGAGAGAAGGAGATAGATATTTTAAGATTTAGAGGACATTCCTCCAATATGTTCGGTGACCACTAGATATTCACCAGACAGGACGTATAACGCGGCGGCAACGAAGGTCCACGTTTTTGTATAACGCTCCGTTTCGCTTCGCAATATATGTCGACCTCATTTTAAATCATTGGCTCGCCCGCATTTCCAACGCCTTCGATGCAAACGACATTGGTGGATATTTGGGATTGATCTGCGACGAGCAACAGCAACTACATTTCGGTTCAGTCGCTGTACAAGGAATACGCGCACTGCGACGACTTTTCTTTTTCTCTGTCTACTCTGAAGCGTCACACGCAACCGAAGACGAAATGCAGCTCGAAATTACTTGCACTATAAATCACTACGGTAAGCTTCGTACGGTATACGACTACTTCAAGTGTAACACACGAGAAAATTTGGTAACCGCTTCAAATTCTCCCCTATAGTATGTAAATCCCGTTGCGAACCGGGTGGGAGGCGAGCAAAGCGTAACAATCAAGCAAATTCCAGTGTGAGGTCACATTTATATCTAATCTGCGCTATGTCCGATGCTGTCCTTCGAAGGGTGTGTGTGGCTGCTGCTTCTTTCATTGCTCATTGAAAGATAAATAAAGCGCTGAATTGAACAATAGACTTTCAAGGTTGATCATTGTTTTTCCGTCGTTATCACCCACGGCAACGAGAGCATGACCAGTATTAGAGATAACACTTATACATATGAAGTCCTGCCAGTCAGTGGCGAAAGGCACAAAGAATGGAATATGCATATGCGTACCCAGGGTTCCCCTTCAGAGGGTGCGAGAGAGGGGGCGAAGGAATTCAATGTATGAGGATAACATTCCCCCCCCCCCCCCCCCCGTGGGCACGCTTATGGGAATATGAACATAATCGCCACGTATACGTACGGCCCATCGGCTGCAGGCGTCAGTATGCAGCGTACTTTTCACTGGAAACACTGGGAATGGAGAATGCTTCAATTTCTGCGTCACGAGGGCCAAGTATGGTCAGAGAACGACGGGCCGGTGTTGATCAATGGCAAAGAAGCGAAAAGGTACCATAGGTAAATCCGTGTTAGCTGTCGTGAGCCTCGGAACAGTCGTCCTAAAGCGCATAAAATTTGTCATAAAACCATGGACGACATTTACCAGTGAGGCGAGACGTGCTACGTCTGAATGTAGATTTCTAAGGAATGCGTTATGGTGTATATATATATATATATATATATATATATATATATATATATATATATATATATATATATATATATATATATATATATATATATATATATATATACCATAACGCATTTTCGCAAATTTCGCAAATATACACCACAACTCGCACATATACACCATAAAGCAAACCGCTAATTTCGCCACCAACCATAGTCGATGGCAAAATTTGCGGTTTAAAAAAATACCGAAAGGAAAAAGCACCGTCACTGTACGCACCTAGTACACAAACGTAACACTAAGTGATCCACAATTAACGTCGTCTAGACACGAGTCATTGCATAGAACAATGATGTGAGAGTGTATAAATCACAGTATCAGCCCTGTCCCTATAGTACGCTGCCCTGGTGAAAATGTACGAACTCACTCAAGTTGCACCGCTGCTATAGAACCCATCTAGAGTTACTGTATATGCTATACAGTAAGCATATACTGTATAGTATAGCAGTATAACATATACAGTAACTTTACAGTACCTTTAGCATACCTTCAGCATACAGTACCTTTAAGTAGCATATATATGCTACCTATAGGTAGCATATACAGTAACTCTAATCCCACCTGCCCCGTACGAACGCCTATCCTTTTACACGGCTAAGATTAAATAAACTTTTATATGGCTTCCCTTCCCGCTTTCGCACATTATGAGTTACGGTTATCGAAGATATCAATAAATACAGCGCACACAGCAATCCAACATGGGGGACAAAGTGCTTGCACTGTTGGCTGAATATGTAAATAAGTACAGGCAGCACTGCCTGAGCCACTCACCAGGCTGTTGGCTCATAATCCTCCTCGCGGTATCCTCGGAAGTCTTCCCTTTCTTCGTCTCACCCACTCTCTTTTCGTATTTCTTGTTTGTTTTTTTTTTTTTCGATGCGGCACACGCTATCCCGCTGCACTGGTGTAGTGGAGTGGCGCGCGGTTTTGGGGCGTGCGCTTCGTCGATACTCGTGGTGTACAGTTGGCGGGATGTCCCTGCAGAAAGAGAACGAGAGACAGAGAGGCGTATTCAGCGATTGGTTCGTTTTTTTTTTTCACCCCCTCCCCGACACGTATCGCACAGTTTAAGCATATACGAGTCAGACGCGATGGAGTGGGAGCGGCGCACACCGAACAAAGAAAAAGCAAAAGATACGCGAGAATGCAAGGAAGAAATGGAAACTATGAGTGCAGAGGGCGTGCTCTGCAGCGAGGACTATCGGTGATAAGGAGGCGCACGGAAAGCCCACCCGAGGGGCAAGGACGATTTCAGGACGACTATTACAAGGAAAGGGTAAACAAACAAGGCGGGCGCGCTATTCAAAGTGGGACACCCCATGCATTCGCGCGCCTCCATGGCGGTGGCTCATTTGTTGCGAACTGGGCGTGTTTTAAGGTCTCTACCATGAAAATGAAACTATATATATATATATATATATATATATATATATATATATATATATATATATATATATATATATATATATATATATATATACACGTGACATCAGCGACACAACTTGCAGCCCTGCATGTTCAAAGCCACCGCATCCTTACTATAGTGTAGAGAATCATAGTACAGCAGCGCATAATAGTGCAGTGCAGACACGCGCAGCTCGTGAATTTTGCGAGTCCCGGCTGCAGAGACATGATATCAAAGTCAACGTTGATGCCTACTCGGTCCCGCGCTGACACACATTATGGACGCGTGCAATACACGTGCACGCCTTACAAATGTGAGTCGAGATCCAATGCGGTTCACCGATCCACTGATCGCACACCAGGAGAATATCCAAACAACGTTATTCCTCCAGCATCCCGTTCTAACAGATTGAAGTAGTGCGATCAGCCATCCTTTCAAACCTTTAGACAAAAGTTAAGGTGTTCAGCTTAAATTGAGGACGACGCAGCGAGGAATGGAAAGAAAAAAATGGTAGGTGTAACCTTAACAGACAAGAAGAGAGCAGAGTGGATTAAGAAACAAACGGAGGTTAAGGATATCATAGTTGAAATCAAGAAGAGGAAATGGACGTGGGCCGGGCATGTAGCGCGTAGACAGGATAACCGCTGGACATTAAGGGTAACTAACTGGATTTCCAGAGAAGGCAAGCGGGTTGGGGGGAGACAGAAGGTTAGCAGATGAGAATAAGAAGTTTGCGGGTATACGTTGGCAGCAGCAAGCACAGGACCCAGTTGACTGGCGGAGCACGGGAGAGGCCTTTGTCCTGCAGCGGACGCACTCAGGCTGATGATGATGATGGTGATGATGATGATATGGTGTCCGGCTGCTGACCCGCAGGTAGCGGGTTCGATCCCAGTCACGGCGGTCGCATTTCAACGGAGGCGGAATGCTGTAGAGGCCCGTGTACTGTGCGGGTTCAGCGCGCATTGAATAACACATCAGAAGGTGAAAATTTCCGAAGCTCTCCACTACGAAGCGTCCCTCATGATCACATATCATGGTTTTGGAACGTCAAACCGCAGATATGATAATAACCTTTGGACAAATCGTCGACCAGTCAGCGCTGACCGTCATCATGGTGTCCATAGATAAGAAGCCGCGAGCAGCCACTCCGAGATAAGGAGGCAAACGAGCCACTTATGCTTTCCCCTTCTTATCTTCGCACACACAGCAACACGTGCGCGTCCAACCAGTGACAAACACGGAAAAAACTGCACGCAGAGATAACTGGAGCCGGTAAATTCGTGAAGTAAGGAATTCGGCGCCGCTCGACTACGCACAACACTGGACTGAGATAAGGAGAGATATTGCTCGCCACTGTTTCCGTGCCTATGTAAGTAATTTACGGCGTATTCGGTTGGCCGCTCTGGTCCTCTGGCCCAGAGTCGCCAGATTCGGCGGCAGCTCGCAATCAGAGTGCGATAGAAAGCGTACCAACCGAACACATCGGCGATCTCAGAGCGCCCAGAGCAATGCACCTGTAGCGCCACCGTGCAGCCAGCGCGGAAAGCTGCCGGGTAAACATAGCTGCGCCGCGTCAACATTGTCAACAAGTGGTGCCGATCACTTCAGTGGACATCAGTGACATGTCTTACCTTTTGTTATATTCTTCCTCTCTCTGACATGTCTGGATGCAGTGAAAGCCTTCTGGACTCGGCACATAAATCTGACGATTGTCCTCATCCGAACTGCTATAAAGCAAATCACCAGGCTGTATGCGAGCTGCTGTAACGACAGCATTGACGTCTCCTCCGCCTTGGCTAGCCGCCTCGTTATTGACATGGTGCATTTATGGCTTCGTGGACGTGAATTCACCCTACACAGGCGCGAAAACGCCATTAACAACACACGTGTATTACGCACCCGGCAATTCCCCCTTCCGAAATGCACGCTCGCGCTCCTCACCTCGTTCCCCTGCCAGCAGTGACGTGATTGGCTGGCTTGTGCCACGTGATTCGTCCTCCCGGTCAGATCACGCCACGCTCTCACTTCAAAGTCAGAGCGGTCGGGGGCGCTCTGAGTCAGCTGAGGCTGACGCTCTCAAACAACCAACCGAAGGTAGTCCGAGCGCTCGAATTCTACCGACCGAAGGCGTAGCCACTTTTCATAGCACTCCAGAGCGCTCTAAAACGCCCAACCGAATACGCCATTAGATTGTGAAGCCTTATATTTTGTGACATGTTATCCCGTTTCACGTGTCTTGCGGCAGTTCATCAGCATGGGAAACAAAATAGTAGCGCAGCCAGCATGGACAGAAATTGTCGTGTTTACTGCACGCATATTTGTAACATGATGCGAAACCAACAGGTCTAATCAGCAACAATGCCGAAAATTATCGGCGTCACGGCAAAGAACGGCGGGATATGTAAGCGGCATGAGCGTATACGGCGCCATCTTAGAAGCGATACTACTGAAGGCCACGATAAGAAAGCGCGCAAGAGGAGACAATAACAGCTGTTATATATATGGGCTCGGAATTCGGAAGAACCCCACAACACGTGAATGGATCGTATAAGTGTGTACAGAATGCAATACGTGAATGTGGGGCTATAATCGGTGCACGCATCTTGTATTCCGCCGTATACTTACTTCGTGTCCCGTCTGCAGACACCATTGGTCCGTATACAGCCCGGATGTCGCGGGTTACATCGCAGCGGCGGCGGTCGCATTGGCGGAATGTTAGAGGAGCGTGTACACTGTGCGATTTCAGTGCACGTTAAAAAAACCACAGGCGGTCAAAATTTACGAAGCCCTCCACTGTATACGGCGTCCCACAATCGTATCGTAGTCTTGGGACGTTAAAACCCCAGATATTATTGCAGCCCAAGCCAAAAGGTAGCGGTTACCTCTGAAGCAACTTGGTTATCTCGAGCAATTAAGCACACCATGCAGACGCTCGAATATGATACGCCGCGTTAGGTCGCGCATGTAGAGGCAATGCGTACTAAGCAAAATCGAGATAAAAGAATATACGTGCGAGTGTACGTGGCTAAACTGAGTTGACTTATTGTTCCACTTGCCTGTCCACTTATTCCCCTTATCCACAGGCGTGCATATTTTCGACTCGGACAGGGCTTGTAGGCGTGGGCCCTGGAAGGGTAGTTTCGTAACCAGTGCATAATAAGGACGCGTTATCGCGTCGTTAGCACGACCACCGTCCAAACTATTATACAACACCGCCACGCGCGAGAGAGGTGTGCAGCGATATACGCGGGCGCAGGCACGGACGACCTAATGGCGCGCCGATGGCAAAAGCCACGCCCAGCGCCTGTTGACGGCCCGTGATCGAGCCAGCGCAAGCCGAAGCCACAGCTCAGTCCCGAAGTATTTGTGGATTAGTACAAGTCAAGAAAAGTCGAAGCCACAACTCAGTCCCGAAGTATTTGTGGATTAGTACACGTCAAGAAAATCCAAAGGCGGCTTTTTGCCGTGAAAGGACTGTACCTTAAATTCACTGTGCCCGAACCCGGACGTCCGGAATTCGCAGCGCATGCTCTAAACCGGTGGTTTGGTCAACGCAACGTCACCAGACGACATTCGATGATGTGTTAGCTCTGTGTAATGTTTTCTAACCTTTTCCTTTGTTTTTTTTTTTATTGGAAGGGAGCTGACCTTATTTATGCATGTTTGTGCGTGTAAAATGCATATGTGCAAAATTCAAAAATTACGTAAAGGGGGAAGGAGGGTTTAAATCCACTGAACAAACCTCCTGGCTACACGATATACATCACTGCTTTGAGCGAAGGAGTCTGCTTTTTTCAAGGTGCTCCGGTGCATGCGACTTTCCCATAACGGATAAGGCTCTAAACGGCTAGTGTGATCTGTGAATTTGTTTCTATAAACGTTGTTTTGCACGCCTTTCGAATCTCGGAGGCTTTCCTTCGTTCCGGTGATCCCGGTTGCCTAAGATCACCACTGAAAAAGTCCGCAGCTGGCAGAAACGAGACTTTGCCAAAATGTTACTGCATATGCGACGAGTACCCTCCCTGTTTTTTTTTTTTTCCTCCTTTTTCTGTGTACACATACGACGCATGACATTCTCACAGAAATTTCTGATGAGTATGTGTACATAGAGCTAAGGCACCGTCAATAGATTATGGAGTGGTGAACTCACTAAGAGCGAGGAAACATTAGCGAAGCGAACAGATCATGAAGCCGACGAAGACACATATAGGGGACATTATTCCTAGTATTCATCGGCAGTGTGTTAATGCGACTTAAGTGGAACGAAATTAAGGTACATGAAAAAAAAAAAACTTCGCCGCGTCGGTAGCAACAAGAGGTCCAACAATTTCAATTTTCGGATAACACGTCGGAATGCTCTGCCGAAGTATGGGATAAGCATTCTGGAAACGAGAGCCTCCGTTCGAAAAACTACTTATGCAGGAAAGCCAACTTACAGATTTTTTTTTTCACAGTGTCATTTCTTTCTCGTGATTTTTTTTTTTTGCCAAATGCTCTCGGCCACAGCATAGCAGCAAGAAGTGGTCATCACCGCCACACAGAGGCGGCCACCGTGCGCACATCTGGGGCC